AAACTTTTCAGAAAATTTTCTTTATAAAACAAAAATAAATTAGAAAACCAAACAAAAATTTTTTTCAGAAATTTTTTCGAATATAATTTTTTTTTAATTATTTCGCTGTTTCCTTACTTTTTTAATATTCTCAAAAAATACGTCATTTAAATTATAAAAAAAAATTTCCTATTCAAATTTTTGAAAAACTTCAAAACCTCTCCGAAAAATAAAATTCTTTTTTTTTTAATTTGGAAAAAATATTCCGATTACAATTTTTTTACGCGGGTACAGCCAATAATTATTATATAAATTAACTAAAATAGTCAGATGTTGTCGGCGTTGAGAAAAAGTTGTGGGCGACTGTATAACACCCACTGGAGTCATTAAAAATGCACATAATGATTGATTTACGTGTCAGCCATTGATCTTTTCAAAAGTTCATAGTCATGTGTCACGATCTCATGAAATTATTAATTTTTTCCCCTAACTCCATTAAATGTATCCCAAAAAAGCCCGATAAAAAAATCCAAAGTAGCCATGCTTAAATCTGAATAACAAGGCAATTATTATTCCGAGAATTCTCGTGGAAACCGGATTTTTCTCAATTGAAATTGGACAAATGTCTCATAGTGGAATTTCTCGAATTTGAGATGTGTTGCGAGCGATTCTCATCACGACTCGGCAATTAAAATTCTCTAATTGTCCTTGAGAATGGAGAATAAACCCCGAGACATACCCTCGAACACGAAACATCCGGCGTTGTCATTATTTCCTACAGCTAAAGGATGACGCATACCCACGAAAAGAATACGAAATGAGCACGAATAATCCACGAGGACGAGCCCGTTATTACAATATCCCAATGGCTGTAGTCTAACAACAAGTGGTTGGTGGAAGTTATCGTCGGCACGAGCCGACATTTTTCATTTATTTTTCTTCCCCTTTTTTGCTTATTTTTTTTCCCCCTTTTTTGCTTATTTTTTTTCCCCCTTTTTTGCTTATTTTTTTTCCCCCTTTTTTGCTTATTTTTTCTCCCCCTTCTTTGGTTATTCTTTATCCCCCCTTTTTACCCATTTTTTATCCCTCCGTAGGTAAAAAAATGTAGTCGGAATATTTTTTCTAAATTTTCAAAAATTTTTGGAAAATTTTTCAGATTTTTGTTTTTGAAAAAAAATCGGAAAAAACAATTTTATCCTATTTCTGGGAAATGTTTGGAAAAGCTTGTTTGGAAAAATTTATTTCGGAAATTTTTTAGAAATTTTTGCGAATATAATTTTTTCTTGTCATTATACTGCTGTTTTTTTTCTTTTTTCTTTTTTTTTCTTTTTGATTTTTCAATATTCCCCAAAAAACGCCTTCTAAATTATAAAAAAAAATGTCCTATTCAAATTTTTGGAATATTTTTCAAAACCTCTCCCAAAAATAAAATTGTTTTGGTTTCCGATTTTTTTTTCTGAAGTTTTCCAGAAATTTTTTGATAATTTGGAAAAAATATTCCGATTAAAATTTTTTTTTTACCCGGTAAGGTGGATGGAGTCCGGACTGCGTGCGACCGGTCTTCCACCAGCTTGTATCTCGAATTTTATCGCTTTCACCTTGGGCACAAAACCTCCCTCTTTCTCTGGCTCCTTTTTCGCTAGAGGATGAAATATCTCCGTGATTAAAAAAAAAAAATAATGGAAAGCGTTTGCACTTATCGGCTCTTTCTTTCCACTCGCATTTTACATTCGTACGCAAAGACCGAAGATTTATGATTGGACTGAATTTATTACCCAAAAAAATTAATTGACGATTAATTTCTTTGGAAAACGCGTGATAAGCTGAGAAAAATCCCGGCATTTCCAGAAAATTTCCCCGCCATTCTCCCTAGACCAAACGCGCACTAATTATAAAAATCGATTAAAAATTCTTAATTTAAATAAATTCCAAATTCAAATTGACAGACGTGACAGACTTTCGAGATATCGATACTCTAGATTGTCCTTTTCAGAATAAAAAATTTCTGTTGTTTAATTTCCGCCGAGACCTACTGCGCACTGCGCCGAATTTGAATTTGGCGGTTCAACCCGACCAATAAAAAACTAGCCCTTCGCGTTTCGAGATATATCGACTCGGGCGAACTTCATCTTTATGTTTCTACTTTCATAATAAGAAATGATTGATATTCTAGCTCCTATGAGATAATTTGATGAAATAAAATAAAATCGATAGATATTTTTCAATAACAATTTCTCAGAGAAGCGCAAGGATTTTCTCATGCATCCATCCCACCGCAGTGACATGAGTAATTTTCTTCGCCTCTACCACAATGAAATAGCATCATCAGTCATGTTATTTAATTCATAGTAAATCATTGAAAAGATCATGCGAGAGGAGTTGATTGAAGATCCATCAATTACACACCAGCACTTGACAATCAGGTGGTATATTTCACGGTCGCATGCATGATCACTCGAAAGAAAATAGGATGGAGCCTCTCTGGCTAGTCTTAACTAATCACAATCCCAATGCAATCATCTACACCATTGCGTAACTTCCTGGAGTACATGATGATTAAAAATAGTTTGAATAAATCATCCTGCCCCATCAAACTGTCCCTGAACACAACAATTACTCGTTTCAGCTTCTTTTTTAATTAATCGTTATCAATTTTTATCAGTCATTTTACCATCCCTAGATTTCAAATGATTAAATCGATTCGAATATCGAACATCTAGTCATTGAATTCCATTTCGCGTAAACGTATCATTTATGCGGGCAATAACGGTACGTTGTATGCATATACCTTTTTATCATTCCCCTTGATTCATTATTTTTACTTTTCTTTACCGAGTGGCAATTACACGAGAGTGAACCAACTAATAAGCACCTAGATCTCTGGCCTGTGTGCACGAGGAGGAAATACACGTGTGTAAGATGGAAAATATGTACTCCTGGGCTCACGTGAAAATAAAGATGATGAAGGTATGAGACTAGATTTTTATTCCAGACCTGAACCTTGAACTCATCCCGTAATTAACATCGGATATTTGCACCGGTTGTTTTTAAATTGTTACTGATAAATGTTATTATTATTGTAATTACGACGAGTCAGGGAAGGGCGTGTGAATAATTTCTGGGGGAATTGCCATGGATCGGCAGATCATTCTGACAAAATTCGATATCACTTGAAGTGTCTTGAGACTTTTTAAAAGAATTATTATTAAAAATTATTTTAATAATAAAATTATTTTAATAATTACTTTACTGAACGAAGACTTACAACGAACTAAATTAATGTTACTTCTGAGGGCCAGGTTAAACTCCTCTCCAGAGGGCAATATAATTTCTCCTTCTACCCTTAACCCTTGGTCTTTCCTTTCCTGACCCGCACCGAGAAAGTCCGGGACTTCCCTTTTTTTATAACCCGAGGTAAAAGTCTGACAGTAACAAAGAAATAAATATTTCCTAAATCCGAAAATATAAAAACTCCGCAAGCGTGAATTTTTCGTAAAAACGTCAGAGATCAATCTTTTTAAAAAAGAAATTCTGGAGAAAAAAGTTCTCTTGATATTTCTCCGTGAAATCAACAGTTTTTGAATAAATTGATGTTTAGAGAATTTTTTATTCGTTTCATCAATTGCGGGGGTGTGAATTAAACTGAAAAATTATACATACAGGCACTTCCGGTGCACGTCCCAATAATCCGGAGCGGCTACTTGCAGTCGATTTTTACCTGGACAAATAAGGCAAGATTCAGGTGAGCATCATTGCGGCATACAGCATCCCAAAAAAGAAGATGCAGAGATAAAAGGGAAGGTAGTACCCAGAAGTGTAGCTTTCTCTGAAGAACAAGAATAAAAAGATGAGAAAGAGGAGGAAGAGGAAGAGGAGGAAGAGGAGGAAGAGGTGGGAGAGGTGGGAGAGGTGGAGGAGGTGGAAGAGGTGGACGAGGTGGAGGAGGTGGAGGAGGTGGAAGAGGTGGAGGAGGTGGAAGAGATGGAGGAGGTGGAGGAGGTGGAAGAGGTGGAAGAGGTGAAAGAGGTGGAAGAAGTGGAAGAGGTGAAAGAGACCAGCGAGTTTCGGTGAAACCAATGCCCCACGTGTCCCAATATCCCTTTCGCCCGTTCCATCTCGAATGATTTAAAAAAAATGTGGGCGAAACACTTACACTTCCCACGCAAAATCCAGAGCTCTTCTCCCTGACGTCCATTCTCCCTCGATGTCTCATCCTCACTCTCACCTGGTACCTCCTGAAATCATAATCCACTGGATAAAATTATAATCTCACATTGGAATGATATTCTCAACAACAAATATTGATGGTTGAATTCAGTGAAGCATAGGACTCGGTGGAGGTTTTTTTTAATGGCGTTCCAGTGGAAGGAAGCTGATCTTTATAATAATCTCTGGAATATCTCGAAAGGAGAAGCGTCTCTGGCCTTGACTTCCACAGTCAGGTTTTGCCCGTGAGATGTGAGAGATTTTTCTCCACCTTTTTCTTTTCTTTCTTTATTTTTATCTATTTTTCTTTATCACTCATCTCTCTCTGGTTACAATATTTTTCCCCCAGTTTCTTTCTCTTGTACTTGAGGGAATTGTTTTGTGGCTTGGGGAATGGTCAGGACTGAGAGGGAAAATTGGGGTGGGTAATTTAGCGCTCGGACGGCCTCTAAGGACGTCGAGTTTTTTTAAGGAAGACGACTTAGTATAATACCAAGCTGTGAGCCACTCACATTGGTAAACTACTGGTGACGTAAGCCATCTCCTGTTGCTTCCATCAGTTGTGGCTAGATACCAGTCCTTTTTAGCTGGTGCTTCCTTTAGTGTCAAGGTTATTAATTACTGTCATTACAGGCGCATTGCTGTCGGTCATTTGCATATTTGTCACATATTTTTAAAAGCCTCTTTCATTGCTTTGCCATTTCCGTAAATAGAAATTCACGTAATCATCATGAGGATAATAGCATTTTTCTTTATTCGGCTAATTGGAGAGTTTTCATTAGCATATTATTGTTTTATTGTTGCTGGGGAAATTTATGGAATGACGGAATCGACGATAATCGAAATGGAAAATTTGATATTATCAAAATGCCTATTTTTAGGGGCTGCGTTAAGGAACTATTTTGAGGGGGAATTTTGAATTGTTAATTGGATAAGTCTGGGGGCTGTTCTGTCGACTGGATGTAACTGGTGAGAGGATTTTCTGTCTTATCTTGGAGTGATATCAAAATACTCGAGTGATAACACATGGCCTTGCCGTTTAATAAATTTTGAAATAATAATTCACCTCGAACATAATTTTTTAAATTTTGATCAAGCGCAAAACTCTGTGTCGTAATTAATCCCAAAAATAGTAAAAGAAAATAAAACTTGATATTCGAATTCGATGAAATTAATTGTTCATGCCACAATTAATTATAGAATCGTCGGTGGCTTTTTATAAATGAAATAATTGCGCCAGATTTTTTTTTATGTAGGAAATTATTACTGCGGTTCACGCAGAAGCGAAAGATATTAATTGTTGCCTCATCCCGTGCCATTTCTCGATCACTTCGTCTGGTGAGAAGTTCGTGACGCGCCTGAAAGTTCAATCCAATTACCCCATGCCATTAAATTAATAACAATTAACAATACCAAAAATTAATTACCAAGTTCAGGAAAATCAGTCATTGAGAATTGTAGATTCCCAGATTCTTTCGGGGACAGAGCCAATGACTTCGGTGCTCTGAGAGGCTTCAGCTGCAATAAAAAATATGAATTAATTAATTAGTAACCAGTCCCCGATGATTATCGATGAATTGATAATCATTCTCCAGTGGAAAATGAAAGAGAGGAATAAATAGATAAAATAAAACGAATTTCTTACAAGTCTCACAGAAGCTGGTGGTGGCAGTGGTGGTGGTGGTGGAAGATTGAGACTATGATCGATTATCACTAGAGGATTCAGAAGAGCCTTCTTCCTTCGCTCTTCATCTTCCTTCGGTGTTCTCGCAGCTTTTTTCAATCTATAAGCCTCAGTCACCTGCAAGTGCAACAAAATGCAAATAAATGTAAAAATAAATCTTCATTATCATTGATCAATCAATTAATAAACTCCATCTTACTCCAGTCATCGACTTGACAGTCCCCGGTAGAAATTTCTTATCGATAGCTAGACAAGCCATCCCCGTCGCCAACAAATCGGAATCATCAGTGAGTGATGACGCTGGGCAGTGAACATCCGGTATCATCTCAATCCCCAGGAAGTTGCAGCAGTAATCGCAGATGGAGAATCCCCACTGTCGAACGGTAGCAAGACTGCAGTGGATCGATGCTCCATCGATCTTGGAGTGATATTCACAGTCAATATTCGGGGAATAAGCGAATGCATCTTTCTCCAATTCACTCTCAGCGAGAATTTCAGGATTTATCCTGTGATTATCGATATCAGGATTGCACATGATCATGAGATTTCCATAAAGATACTCCAGTGAGTACAAAGAGAACACATCGTCATTGAGATCAGCAGCTCTTATCATTCGATCAAGAAAACACGTGACAACATTTGAGAACCTCTTCGAGGTGTAAACCGGTGGAATCTTTCCAGTTCTATCAATCGTGGGCTGCAAGAACTCCCGAAACATCTCGTATATCTTGAAATAATCTTTCTCCCCTTTGACGTAATCCGTTGGAATTTTGTGGGTGCGTTCTCCATGTTCCAGGGTCTCTCTCGCATAACCCATCTCCACCTGGACATTGATAATCTGGTGATAGAATCCCTTGACTCCCTCTGCTATCGAGTACTCGATTATCGCCATTTCTGCTGGTGTATAATCAACTGATGAGTCAGAACGATCTTTCGTGTAGAAGTACTGCACGTGGATGAAGAAGAATGATATATTCTGGATGTTCTTGCACTCCTGGCCCATTCGAATTGTCTCCAAGATGTCTGACTTCATGTTCGCCTCGGCCTCCGCGATTTTTCGCTGTCTCTCTTTGATGAAGGCTATGGGCTCACCGCATCCTGTCAGTTTCATTGATCGACATTTATATCTTCTTGCCAAATCGCTGTAGTGAGTTCTGTCGACCTTCGACAGGCTCTGGAGATGATAAAAAGTCCCTCATTGTTTCAAATATTTTTCGAATCCACAAATATTCAAAAAAAACGTCACGATTTCAAGAGATGGGGGAAAATTGTTGGAAAAATTCTTGTCGCCACGTCCGGATTATTTATCATAATATATTTTTATTTACCTTCCATTGTCTCGAACACTCAGGATCATTCTGCACGTCTTTCATTCCTCCAGGGAATGATATCCCCTGGTTTTCTGCTGCTTTTTTAAAATCTAGCATAAAATACCAGAAACCATTTCTCTGCTGTCGCTTCGGGGGCATTTTTTAATGAACGGCTTTTGTGACGCACTGTAAATTACTGACGATATAAGATGTATGCAGATGGGGGACGAAGTGGGGGTACGTCGAGGTGACGGAATTCATCCCCTCCCATTCATCTGTGAATTCAAATGATTGCAGATTGTAATTTGAGGTGATTAGATTAACAAGTGATTCATTCACCCACCGAAACTTGAGGAATTGGCGGGAAAAGGTTCGATGAGACATTTATTTATTTATTTTTTATTTATTTTTTATTTATTTTTTATTTACCAAACAATTGTCTTGGGTATTTAACCCCAATTTTTTTGTTTCTATTTTTGTATCCTCTATTCAATTAATTAAATAAAAAAAAGTAGAAAACAATATTTATATCATCCGGAAGTGGATAATTAATAATGGTTGAAGAAATTAAACAAAGTCTTGTAGTTTTCTCGCAGTCATCAATGTTAATAATTATTATAGATGATTATAATAATTATTTCAGGGATTTCTTCTCCGAGGAATCCGAGGAAAAAAGGAAAAGCTCCAGTTAATCAGTGGCGATTCCGCCACGACCTGCACAAACAAATGACAATTAATAATTATTAATTAATTATGAATTATTAATTAATTATGAATTAATAATAAATTATTTACCTATCCCCTTCATCTGGGGTCGTTTTACAGTGGCACTGGATTTCCCATGTCCTGTGGCCCCTGAAGATAAAATATTTATCTTAAAAACTAGATAATAAATAATAATAAATACTGACATGAAGACTTAGGGATTGAATAAATTACCGAGCGATGAAGTAGTGGAGCTGTGGGATGTCGAGGGGTTGTCACTTCCCTTGAAGATCACTGAGAGATTATTCGGTGGTCTGAGGGGTCTGTAGAACTTCGGAAATGTCTTAGCAATTTCACCTGGTGCATTATTCCCGTGATCAATAATCTCCAGGGGATTTTTCATGGCTTCCTTCCTGCGTTGCGCCTCTTCCTCGAAGGTACGTCCAGCTTTCTCATACCTGTACTTATCACTCACACCAGTCATGGATTTTAAGGTACTGGGCTGGAACTTCTTGTCGATATTGAGGGACTTGACACTCGTGGAGATGAAATCGATGTCGTCTGTGCAGTGAAGGGCAGGACAGTGAACATCAGGGATAATATCAATGTTGAACCAGTTGCAGCAGTAGGCACAGATGATGAAACACCACTGACGAATTATAGCGAGACTGCAGTGGATTGAAGTGCCTTCGATCTGGTGGTGGTACAGGCACTCGATGTTGGGAGAGTAGGCGAAAGAGTCTTTATCGAATTCAGACTCTGCCAGGAGGACTGGATTGCAGGAGTGACGATCAATCTTATCAGGATTGCACATGAACATCAGCTTCCCAAAGAGGCACTCCAAGGAGTAGAGTGGAAATGTTTCCTTGGGGAGTCCTAAAACAAAAAGAACAGATTCACAAATTAATTACAACTCTAAACAATTAAAATCGACAGACACTTCAACTCGATAAATCAGCACCTGCACTCAGGGTAATTCGATCCAGAAAGCAGGAGACGACAGTAACGAACTTCTGACGTGTGTAAATGGGGGGTATTTTTCCAGTCTGTTCCTCCGTGGTCTTCAAGAACTCTCGAAATTTTTTGTAAATCTTGGAATAATCATCCTCCCCGTATTCATAATCTGGGCAGAGCTTGTGGGTTCTGTCGCAGTGCTCTAGGGTCGACCTGGCGTATCCCAGTTCGACGTCGGACTTGATGATCTGGTGGTAGGACCTCTTGATTCCCTCAGCAATAGAAAATTCACATATAGCTATTTCAGCGGGGATGTACAGGACCGATGAGTCTGGGAGGTCCTTCGAGTAGAAGTAATTCACGTGGATGATGTACACCGTGAGATCGGGAACGCTCTCGCAGACCTGGGCCAGGCGAAGAGTCTCCTCGATGTCTGCTCTCATGTTCGCCTCGTACTCCTGGTGTTTTTTCTGTCTCACCAGGATGTCCGAGATCCTCTCACCCCAGCCTGTCAACTTCTCTGTCTGGCCCTTTCCTTTATCATTCGTTCCATTGTACCGCTGTTTCTCCTTCTCCGATAATTGCTGAAAGAAAATACAGAATTCTCTCTCATTGCGATTATTCAATTATTCACGTCTCACTCGAATTTCGGAGAATATCTCCGGATCTGATGAAAATATCAATTTTTTTGTAAGAACCTATTCTGCAGGTATTTAAATTTCCGAGGGAAAATGTCTTTTGACGTTTTCACGAGGAATCGATAGTTTCTGAGATTAATCGATATTGAAAATTCGGAAAATTCAATTTTACATTTTCTCGTTGGAATTTCTTTCTCGGAATTTCGGGGAGACGAAGCAAAAAATGTTCTTTGTCCCTTAAGCCCCTCCCCCCTCTTCCGCCCCCCTCTCATAACTATAAACAAGTTGAGAGGCTGTAAAAAATGCGTGAGACGAGAGGGAAATGGTGATAAATAATCGTAAACTTCTCGAATTAATTCCCTGAATTGATTTCAAATTGAAATCGTAAGGTTTCTTCAAAAATATTCACCACTGGCGTTCGGTGATGAAAATTCTTTGTCCTCAGGGCTTTCTTGGCTTACCTGCCACGCTTTTGAACATTCTGGATCATTCTGCACATCTTTAATTCCCTCAGGATAAATTTTTCCCTTTTGCTCTTGAGTCTTCTTGAAATCCTGCATAAATCTGTAGAAACCATTCTTCGATTTCTTCGGCGGCATTTTGAGATTTTCGAATGGAAAAACGAGGGACCGAATACCAATGCTCTTCCGACGACAAACCGTTGAGGACTGACGAATCCCGAATCGTCGGGCAGGGGCAATCGGGGGGAGTCCGGAAGTGGCGGAAATTAAAATGGCGAGAAATTCAAATTATCGAGATTAATCAATTCCCAAATTTGATAGGATCCACGATTTAATAACAAAATAATTTCTTTTGATTTCTTTCATGCGTCATTTTATAGGGCATTTTATTAAAAATAAAAAACAAATTTATTCCACACAAAATTCATTCGTTGTAATTTTATTATCCATAAAAATTCAATCCACACATTCATCTTCACTGTGTCCTAAAAACCCTCGATGCCTCCTGTGTTCCTGATATAAAAATATAAAACGTACTCGAAATATTTAAACTTTTCATGTAATTTAAACTCATAGTCCATATAATTTTCTTAAATTAATCTTTAGATCGGGTTAATCTCAGAATAATTATCCAAGTTACTCGATATCATCATCATAGAGGTCCTGGAGTTCATCGAAAACTTTCCGCGATATCGATCTCCTGAGGCTGTTTTTCCCCGACGGAGTGTTTGCCCCCATGTCCTTCAATTTTCCAGCCTCCGGAGTCTCCAGATAATTCATGCTCGCCTTTATCGCGAGATACTCCCTCAAAACCCTTTCACTCTTGCACCTGAAGTACAAAATAAATATAAAAAAAAACTATATAAATATAAAATAAAACGACCGAACGAGAGTGATTCAATATTTTTTCACCTGCGCATCAGGAACTGCCCCTGCACTGGAGTTTTAGTCACTGGAGTCCGGATCTTGGTCTTCCCCGTGGATTTAACGTTGAGGGTCTCCTCCAGCCTGGAAAAACTGTCCTCATGTTCATTATTCTGCTTCTCAGCAAGTCTAGCCGATCGCCTGCGCTGGAAAGGTGACGCCCTGGATCTCCTTCTATTTTTTCCCCCAGAGCTGACATTTTCCTTATCCAAAACTCCATCGACGTCCCCCAGGGTTATGGATTTCTCATTTCTCTCCGTTTTTGTTTTCAGAAAATCGAGAATCTGCTCGACACCCTTGAGAATGCGCTCCTCAGTGTTTTTTTTCTCCTCGACGATGACTTCTAGTCTCTCGACGACGACTTCCAGCCTCTCGACGACTACTTCCAGCCTCTCGAGGCGTTTCGCACTCTCCTGGAGCAACTGGGGATCGACACTCAGGGATTTGGACTCAGTCAGAGGATGTGGTGAGCTAGCAGCAGCTGGAGGAATATTCTCCTTGTTCTCGATGGATTTCTCCAGGTTCTGGGAGGACTTCTCCCTGGAGAAATTGGAGTCATCAGAGGATACGGAAGGTTTCTGGGATTTTTTCGAGGATTGCGAGCGGATTATCACTGTTGGCCGTTGAATCTCCTCCTGCGGGCAATTATCCGAGGAATTTTCCTCATCAGGGGAGAGAGAACTCTCCAGAATCGTCTTCTCGTGAATTTTATCCATGTGCTGTTTAACGATTGAGTTCGGAGGTAGGAGAAAACTCTTTCGAGATTTTCCTGAGGATTTCGGAGGATCAGGTGGCAGAATGGAAATTCTGGACTTCGAGGGGAAGAGGGAGAGGCGGGCAAGGTTTTGATTTTTCAGAGGAAGGTGAGAGGCACGGGTTGTAGGACGTGTTGACGATCTTGGAAGGCATATCGACGTTTTTGGACCCCTGGGGGATGGCGATCGCTCGTACAATTTACGACGGACTCCTCTGTTCGGAATCAAAAATGTGGGGCGTGTGCTGCGGTCTGAAATTAATCTCGAAGTGAAAATAACGAATAACTGATAAAATTTCAAATATTTTACTCACCAGTGGAACGTGAACACGACTTGGAGACTGACTCCATCAATTGTTTTATTCGAACTGGCTCAAGCTTTTTTCGTTCTGAAACTGTCACATAAGTTTCCATTAAAAAAACACTTAAAAATAATTGAATTATTGAATTATTCGAGCCTCATCGAGGGAATTAATCACCTGAATCTTTAATCGCGCTTTTGGGTTTCCCCAGGAACTCGGAAATCCTCATCGGTTGCATTTCTGTCATGAGAAATAGGTTATTCCATTTAAAAAATTCTTTTACTCCACACAAAATTGTTTCCAGGTATTTTTTAACGGTCTATCAATTAGTTTAATTGATAAACTGAGGTACTTACTCCCTGCACTCGCCATGACTGACGAAATAATCAATCCCGCCAAATTTAATTGATAAACAATTCTCAGATGTTCGACGGAAATTGTACAGACTGTAGAGGGGATGGATAACGCTTGGGTAAAGACGCCATTATGATTTTTCATAGCGATGGCGTCTGAACTAATTCGGAGGCATAATCCTGTCGATAAAGAAGACAAAGAGGATTGACGCTCAGTTCTGGGGTTCAGAGAGAGAGGGCGATGATTCCTGATATTTTTTGGTTAAGGGTTAATTAAACTTTGTGAATAATAAAAAACGCACACATGGAAAGGTATAAATAAATAAAACAAACATTAGATTTATTGCTTATTTATTTTAATAAATACATGTTTCGTTTTTTTTTCATTTTGTCATTTTATAAACTAAATTAGTTTATAGAACAGGACAGCACTCGTGGGTACAGTTAACGAACAGCTGATTAATCCATTTACTTCATAAATCAGAAATATCAATAAACATTTAAAAACAGATCTATAATGTCACAAGCGATTCTTCTTCTCACGCAAATATTTTCACACATTTATTTGATGATGTAATCCAGCGATTATATTCATAAAACTGATGATTGAAGAAGGCTTAAGCTGTACCCAATGAAAAAGTTATAAACAAGTGCTGATACCTGTTGAATTATTGGATAAATGATTCATCGTTGACAAAGCATCAGTGAATGTATTGTGACACTTTTGAGGAATATGATGTTGAATTTAATTAGTGATGATAAGTGGGATGGTAGGCGCTTTAAAAATCACCGTCAGGCTGTAGATCGAACCTTGGCGGGAATGAGGAACCATCGAATGGGGTTTTGAAAGCTGGTCGGTGTGGCTGAAAATTTCAAAAATCATTCAACATTATTTATCAAAAAACAACAAACACCTGATGACTGAGGAAGTGAGTGATTTTTGTTATTCATTTTATTTGTGATTGTAATTATCTCGTGAATCAATAGAAAAAGGTACTGCAGGGTGTCATTGAAGACCCGAGGGAATTTTTCATCAAAATTATTATTCAAAAATGAAATGAAAATATGAATGATATCTCTCTGAAGTTGCAGAATTCAAAGATAAAAATTCCCTCAACTCTCTGATAACATGAGCGTCATCTCCGGATTCCCCACAGGCACCTCAAAAAATTCCAATTACACCATTAATAATCCTCACCCAACTCAACTATGAAACATGAAACATCAGTACATAAAAATGAAATAGACAGTTCATCATATTTTTTTTTTACCAAAAATGGAGGGTCGTGATACCTCACAGGTCTGTTTATCTGTACAGGATAGCGTGACATAATGAATAAACACAGAGTGAATTAAATACGTGTGACAGTGTGTGTGCGATTGCAATAACGGACTTCACACACAAAATTAACTACACGTACACACGCACTTACATGAACCAGTGCGGTACAGATGAATTACTCCGATAGAACTGCAGGCTTACGAGCCTTCTGCTGGGGCTACATTTAGACATGATAAAAGTCATTGCCCCGTACAGAATAATCAACTTTCTCTATTTGTTTATTTATCTAACGGACAGCAAGTTTAATTTTCAATGAATATCTTCGAAACGATTTGATCTGCTACCGAATACACGACAAATCATGACATTTACCCCACAATCCTATTATTTCAGACATTGTAATTAATAAATAATGAAATATATCGTCATTTCTGCAGATAACGAAATATACATCAGAACCTTTTTTGTGGAACTAACTGAGATCTACAGAAAAGGTAATCACGATGATTTCGATATTTCCCTTGGTTTCGGAGATATCATCGAAAATTTTCCCCTCGCTGTTGAATTATTCGAAATAATTGGAATTACGATAGCTTACCGCTGGGCTAAGGCCACGGGCTTGGCTACCTCCACGTCCTCCCTTAGTACGGAACTTTGTGATTGCCTGTTCAGCGAGGTCTGCTCTCTCTTCAGCTTCCTCAAGCTCCTGCTGTGCCTTGCGGAATTTAGCAAGATTGAGTGCGGCAATTTCCTCAGCCTCCTCGATCTGCCTCTTGTACGTCTTGATCTTCTGTTGCAGTTTGTCAACGAGGTCCTGCATGCGCTCGTGGTTTTTGCGGTCCTCATCAGCCTGTGAACAAGAATTTTGATAATCGTCAAAATGATATGTGAATCATGTGATCTCCATGATTTTCAGGGAGTTATGACGGTTTGAAAGTGAGAATACGATTTTCGTGAAGTGGGGATTCCCCTGAATATCTCACCTGGAAGCTGAGTTCTTTGATGCGACGCTCAGCCTTGCGCAGATTCTTCTGTGCATCAGCGTGTCTTCTCTGTTCACCATCGAGTTCGTTCTCGAGTTCCCTGACGCGTTGCTCCAATTTCTGAATTGCCTTCTTGCCACCCTTGAGTGCATTGGCCTCAGCCTCGTCCAAACGTACCTGGAGTTCCTTGATCTGTGCCTCAAGTGCTTTACGCAATTTCTCTTGTGTCTGAGCATGATCCTGTTCAGCTCTAAGCTCATCGGCCAATCTGGCTGCATCAACCATTGCCTTCTTCGCCTTCTCTTCAGAGTTCTTGGCCTCATTGAGGAGTTCATCGAGGTCAGACTGTTGATAATCAAATATTTCCCGATATTATTATCAATACCTCATACCCAAATTGAGAATAAAATTCTCATCTAAATCGCATAAAGTCTTCTTAATAATCTAACAATTCTCTAATGCATCAATTTTTAATTATCAGTGAATATCTTATAAATGTCTCATAACCGAACATAAGCCCAGAAATTTTTATGAATACCTTCTTTCGAGAGCGATATATACCCTAAAAATAAGATGAATATCAATCGGTCGGCGTCTCTGCCGATTGAGGAGATATTCATAATTCAATTTCAGTTCGAGGTTTAAATAATATCTAAATAAGAATTTCCAGAGTAAATATTAACTCACATGAAGGGTCTGTAACTCAGCCTCCAATTTCCTCTTAGCAGCGGAGATGGATGCATTCTGTGCACTGATATCATTGAGTTGTTCATGTGCATCAGCGAGCTCCTGCTCAGCCTGTCTGCGTGCACGATCAGCTTGTTCAAGAAGAGTGCGACTTTCCTCGAGTTCATTCTGAAGAGCATTGGCCCTGCGCTCAGAGATACCAAGAAGCTCCCTAGCCTCATCCCTAGCCCTCTGCTCCTCCTCAAGTGCAGTCTGTACATCCTTGAGTTGCTGCTGATATCTCTTGATATTCTTCTGAGCCTCAGCATTAGCCTTATTAGCATGATCAAGGGCAATCTCAAGCTCATTGATGTCAGCCTCGAGCTTCTTCTTCATCCTGAGTGCCTCAGCCTTGCCCTTGGCCTCAGCCTCGAGTGACGCTTGCATAGAATCAAGTGCTCGCTGATGATTCTTCCTTGTATTCTCGAATTCCTCCTCCTTCTCCTGAATTCGTCGATCAATCTCCTGCCTGACCTGGCTGAGCTCGAGCTGTGCACGAAGGACTTTGTTCTCCTCCTGTTCAAGGGCAGCCTCAGCCTCTTCAAGAGCTGCCTGCAACTCATCCTTCTCAGCCTCCAGGCGCTTCCTTGCCTTCTCAACCTCGTGGATATTCCTACCACCCTCGCCAATCTGATCAAGCAGATCCTTAACTTCATCAGCGAGATTCTTGTTCTCCCTGCGAACAGCCTCGAGCTGCTCCTGGCTCTCCTCGTAAGCACCCTTGAGACGGAACAACTCAGTCGAGTAGTTTCTGCACTCCTTCTGACTTGCGTCGAGCTCAGCAGCAAGATCATCAACCTTGAGCTTCCACTCACCAATGATCTTGTCGAATGCCTTCTGCTTCTTCTCAGCTGCATTGGCAATAGCTGTCGCTCGGTCCACCTCGATCTGCAGATCCTCAACTTCAGTTGCAAGACGCTGCTTCGTCTTCTCCAAGGCAATGACCTTCTGGTTGAGTGACTCGATTGTCTCTTCAGCCTCAGCAAGACGTGCCTGGAGTTTACGTTTAGCTTCCTCGAGTTCTTCTGCCCTTGCTACACCCTCCGACTCGTATTTTGAACGCCAGAGTTGGGCCTCGGCATTTGCCTTGCTCAATTGACGCTGGAGATCTGCCTTGCCCTCTGCCTCTTCCTCAACTTGTTCCCTGATGTTGTCAAGATCGTGCTCCAGATTGCGGAATTTGCCGAGGAGTGTTGCACGCTCACGGCCTTCCTCGTCCGCAAGGCGTTTCGTATCCTCCAGCTGAGTTGTCAGCGAAATCTTAATCTTGGAGAGTTGGGACACCTGGGACTCGGCCTCCTCCAGCTGACGGAGGAGATCGCTGTTCTCGATTGACAGCTTCTTCTTCGCAGCATCGAAATCGTTCACTGTACGATTCAATTCCTCGATCTTGCCTTGGGCCTCGTTCAACTGGTGCTGCAGCTGTTTGGCGATCTTCTCTTGGGCAGCCTGAGAATTTCATTTCGATATTTTAATTTCAAACAGCAATTGCTGAACCTCTTCTTCTGTCAATATTCAATTCAATTTTTGACCAAGCATATCTCTGGATCTAAGAGAGTTACGAAATTTTGTCAGAAGACTTCTTTTGTAGAATTGGATTGAAGCTACAAAAAATGTCTGACAAAAATTTCCATATCTCTCTTAAATTCCGAGATATTTGAACAAATATCCATTAGCTGTTACGCTCCACTCCTTTGTTATTGTCTTGAATTAGAAACATTTGATTGGGATTTAGTTCGGGTATTTTTTCGATTAGAAAGGATTCACTCGATTGTTCGGAACATAAATTTAGATGTTAGCGGTCTTGAAGGATTTGCAGAAGCAGCAGAAGCATTAATCATTAATTATTTCTGATTGTTTGATCGTAGCCTTCGCATCCTTTTTATCAGCATTAGTTTCGTCTGAGCAATTTTTTATCATCTCATTCTTTACCTTCTCGTTGCTCAGATGATCAACAGATGCACGAAGGTCGTTCAATTCAGTGAAGTACTGAACCTTTTCTTTCTCAATCCTGTTAAATCACAAGAATACATGGGGTACAGAGTTGGAATCACAAATTAGTTTCGTACATATCGGGATTAGATCACCGCCTGTCTCATTTTGAAATATCATTCTAACATACAATCCACGGATTTCACTTTGTGCAGGGACAATTGCACAGGGATTACATACAATTGATGCATCGACACTCAATTTGTACCTTTTCTCTTGCAACCGCATCTACTGCCGCACGTGCGGCGTTCATTTCACCGTAGACATCGTGACGACTTTTTTCCGCTCTAATCAAAAGGGATTATTTTTTTCATAAATAATCGTAATAATCGACACGCGTTTTACAGAAAAATTATTTCTGGATCTAGATCCAATTTCAGACTTCACCTATACAATATTTTCAGACTAGACAATAGAATTCATGGAATAATTAAGAATTCGGTTTACAAAAATCCTGAATGAACACTCACCTAGCCTTGAGTTTGTTGAGAGTATCGATCTGCTCTCCCATTTCAGCAACGGCATCATTGTGCTTCTTCCTAAGACTGGAGAGTGATGATTCATGCTGAATGTTGGCTTCCTCAAGATCCCTGCGTAGTTTAGCGAGTTCGGCCTCTCTCTTCTTGTTGAGTTCAATCTGGGCTGAGGTAGCACCACCAGCCTCTTCAAGACGTTCACCAAGTTCTTCAAGTTCTCTAGCCAAATCGCTTCGCTGTTTCTCAGCCTTGGCACGTGCCTGCCTCTCAGCCTCCACCTCTTCCTCGAGCTCCTCAATACGCTGCTGCAATTCCTTGATTTGTTTCTGTAGTTTACCAACGAGTCCCTGTTCATCTTCAAGCTTGGCAGTGAGAGATGATAATTCTTTGTCTTTACGTTGAATCGTCTGCTCGAGCTCCTTCTTGTTGCGCTCAAGATCGGCCACGGCTTCCTGGGTCAACTTGAGATCACCTTCAGTCTTCCTCTTCCCTTTCTCAACATCGGCCCTGAAACAAACAAGTATCGAACCAATAACTCTCACATTTTGGACACAATCATCCAAATTAAAAGTAAAAATTACTCACCGGAGTTTCTTCTCGCGCTCGAGGGTATCCTCAAGTTCGTCAAGGGTCTGCTCAAGCTTAACCTTAACTTTGTTGAGATGATTGACCTTGTCTTCAGCAGCCTGGAGCTCCTCCGCCGTCTTCTGATTGGATTCACCCTGGCTCTTCTTCTCTTTATTCAATTTATTGATCAGCTCATCCTGATGCGCTATTTCATCATTCAAATTTCTGATCTGGTGGTCCTTCGTTGCCTTATCCTGTTCGGATTTCTGGATTGCCAGCTCAAGGTCCTCCACATCCTTCTTCAGTCCAGACACTTCCTGTTCCAATTTCTTTTTATTCTGGAAGAGATTGTTCCTGGCGTCTTCTTCTTGCTGCAGTCTCTCGGTCACATCCTAGAAGAATTCAAAATTCATGTCACATTTCCGTCCAGAACGGAAGAATTCCAAAGTGAAAGAACAATTCCTCGATCATGAAGAGACAGGAGACAGGGGACAGGAGACGAAGGGAAATTCTGAATAGTTAATGTTGAGAAAGCGATGAATGCTCTTGCTGTCTTCAGATGATGAAGAGATGAGAGATAATGACGAAAGCATCATGAGATTGAAATGAAGATGTGACTGTTTCACGCTCTCATTGGCAGATAACAAGTGTAGTGCACCTGTTCTTCCTCATTTTCATCACTTAGCCAAAATCAAGAGCCACTCAGACTATTTCCAAGATAGCCTCCAGTGTTCAAAGCCCCTCTTCCAACACAGAAAACTTTTAATAACCTGGAATCTCTGGTTTATATTTAGAAAAATAAGTAGAGGTGGAATACATGATTCTGGTAGGTTTTACGTTTAACCTGACCAGCCTCTAAATGGTATCGTTTGCCAAATGATGGTTTTTGATACTTTCGGGTCATCCACATCCATCACCAGAAAATTAAAGCGATGAGTCAATTTTGATAGTGTCGCAAGGAAATTAAATTAAATTAAATTTTATGGCTCATCTTGATGATTATCTCAATTCGGGGCTTTTTATAGAAAATACTTCCACTGGATTTTTTATTTCAATGATTTAACAGTCAGGGACAATAAATTATCATCCCGACTGGTGGAATTATCTGGGGTGCTGTTGGAGAGATTTATTCTTAATGTGAGAGGTAAAAAAATCATTCGGTGATCAACCGCTTTCGTATTGGGATATTCTCGGCTCAATTAAATCGTGATTTAGATGTCGTGGATTAATGGCGTGTCCTAATTTCAAGATATTCTTGGAAATATTTAAGTGATGGTGAGTATTTAATGATTCAATACTACAATTGGAAAAATTTCTTCACAGATCCGAGGATTAGTCTGTTCATTGAGTTGGAAGAATTGCTCTAAACGGATTGGACTGTTCAATTTATTACTCACCAATAGTTGGGACTCAAGATCCAGTTTTTGGGCCGCCAATTTCACTGATTTCTCCTGGTATTCCTGGAGGGATCCAGCCTCACCCTCCAATTGACGGAGGAGATCGGTCTTTTCGGTCAACAATTTGGTGTTCAGTGATTCCAGTTCCTTACGTGCCTTCTCCTCTCGCTCGAATGCCTCTTGCGTTGCACGGCATTTCTCCTGGAGTTCCTGTACAACCGATGCAACAGCAACATTATCAACTTCTGTTTTTACTATTTCCTCACTGGAAACTGGAGCACACTCCATTCTTTCAAAATTAATCTCAAGATATTCCCTCGCACCAAGGTAACCGAAATAATTTCTCAATCCCTGTCGTCAATTGCTGACTGATTATTATACCGATAAATTATTCTGGAAATATTTATTTATTGAATTCAATTCACTTTTTCAATTTATTCAGATATTTGGAAGCTGCTCTAGACTTGGAAGTAATGAAGAAAGAAAAAATGGTGAGATGAAAAACTGAAAGTTCGATTCGCGTTCGTTGTAATATTGAGATCGTTCTAAAGTTCGTTAGCAACTGAAACGAAATTTACGCGAGCCCCAACTTTTTAAATATAAAAAAATGAAAAAGAAATATCTCCAACTCTGACTTCACGCTAGCCCCCACCTTCCACGCGAATCTTTATATTTGAAAATATTTATATCTCATTGGCGGTTTTGAGGTGGAGGGGGAAAATGAAAAAGGGGTGAGGGTAAAAATAAATTTCCAGTGATTTTTGGGAGAGGGAGAATACGTGATACAGACTCCAGCTGTTGATGGGTTTCGAGACCTCTTCGATATCCGATTTTAGCGTTACACCTCATCATTTCTATTTTTCATTAAATTTTAAGTTTCTGCGAATGCTAGAGGGGGGGGATTGGCGATGGCCAATCCGAGGTATCTGGAGCAGAATTATGACGACTGGAGTCTGGGGGATCGAATTTCAAACGGAAATGGGAAATCTTATCAATGAAATTTTTTATAGCGCTCCCTTTTTCTGCGGTATTCAGGATAATTCCTTTCTTGTTCCCGCGAAATCATATCTCGCGCCCTCATTTCAAAGCCCGTTAAATAAGCTTCAAAAAAATATGCGAGTTATGGGAATCCCGTCATTTTTCGTGGAGTTGTCGCGGTTTGAATGTCAGAATTCAAATTTCGCGTTTTTTCTCAATTCAGATTTCAAATTGCAATTGTTCTATGTACAAAGTAAATAGGTAGGAATATTTATATACCATTTTGAAGGGCTTTTCGAGTGCTTTTTAATCCCGTTTGAATTTTGGAATTCCATTGGTTTAATCGAGAGTTATCGATGATAATGTGTCGAAATCCATTTGTGAAATTTTGAAAGAAGTCATTGAGTTGAAATAAAACTAATAATAATTTTTATTATCCCCGCAAATACTCAGGTATTTCATTTTTATGGATCATCAAAGTCTTCGGACATGCAGCCGAAATATCAAAGAGGAAATTATAATTTTTTACGAGTTTAAATGCAATTTTTCGGTAAAAATCGGTGGATCTCTGAAAAAACGAAAATTCTTCGTAAAAACCGATGAATTCGCTAGTGAAAACGCTCAATAAAAAAAATATTAACAACCGAAGAAACAATTTTTCAAGCAGTAGCTTCTCGTCATTTTTTTCCCTCAAGATCCCCCAATTATACGCAAAATTACGTCAATAATTCTCTCCTCTTCCGTAACCGCAATCCACCGAAATTTAACGGCACCTAAATTTAACTGGATGATTCTCTCATTCTAAAAATAAAACGTGCGGCAATGCAAGAAAGAAAAATGTGGGCGGTTTTTTTAAATTTATTGCTCAAAGCACTCCAGAGGAATTTCGCAGTTATAAATATTATTCTTTTATTTAAGCTTGTAATAATGATTTTTTATATTTACCGCCAACTCGTCCTCGATGCGACTGGCGTTGAGGAGTGGTCTGACCTTCTGCCAGAGCTTCCACCAGGGCCAGGTACGAAGTTTCAAGTATCGGCGCAAGTTTCGCTGGACAACTTGAAGAGCGAGTCGCTGCTCCTGGAGTTTCTTGAAGTCCTTGCGAGCTAAATAACCTCGGGCATATGCCTGCATCCATGCTGCTATCTTGCTCAGACGCTCGTCACGGAGTTCTTCCATCTGACCCAGCACTCCGGCACGGAAGAATACCTGATTTTTTAGGTGAATAAATTTATTTATGATTAATTTCAAATGTCTGTCTCATCTGCCTATGATATTCCGGACGTGTTGCCATTTTACTGCTGTTTAAATTTTTTTTTCTAAAAAATGAGAAAGTTTTGGATTTTATTTCTCTCCGACAATAATTTTTTTTGATCTATTTTTAATTGATTAATCCAATTAACCAATTGGAAGAAAATATAATTAACAAATTTGATTATGAATATGAAAAATATCCGAATATTTTATGTAATTCAACGAATCATAAAATGTGAATAATCAAATACGGAAGCTATTAATTTCCAATCAATCTCCAATTTACAATAAATTAAAGATTTTTATATTCCAATAAATGTTTAAAGAGTCCGGATCTTAAATTATCAAGAGGCAGGCAGTACTTACGTAACTAGAGGATTAATCAACATCTCACTGATTTTATAAGACATTCTTGGAAATACGAATAGTGAAGTCATGCAAGGAGTAAATAAATACTTGATAAACAAATAGAATAGTTAAAACCATAGGTGTCTTGTACCTTGGTAGCTCCCATTCTGTACTGGTCTTGTTCCAGTGAAATAGCATCAAGAATTTGTTCAGATGCTTTTTTCGGATCAATTCCATCTTTCACAGCGCTTGCGGCCAGAATTTTGTATCTGTTTTAGCATTGGTTCGACGATCGAGGATAAAACAAAAGGAAAATAATCATGCGTGAGTGAAATCATTCAATTCTCAGTGTCTGATCGAGAATTGGTATTAACTACTTTGGAACTTCGCTATCTACTCTAATCCATCTGCGAGATAAATTTAAAATTACAGGAATTAATATTACGATTCAATTAGTTATTACTCAACAGCATTAATTCATCTAGCTGCTCCATTTATTTCCAGAGTAGTTAAATAATTAATTGAAGGAATCAAAGGACTTTCTTTCGAACTTTAATGTGTCAATAGTTTTCGTCCGAAAGTCAGTCCTGCGTAATTATTATACTATTCGTCATGAAGATAGTATTTCGATGATTATTCATAATTAATTACCCAACGCGATCAAGATTATAATTATCAACGAAAAGATTGAAGAGTAATTCTGTCATTCAATTGGAATGGAAGCTATTTGGTGATGATGGAGAAAATATAATCTTGATCGCTATTTATTCTTTCAAATCTCAAAGCATTCTGGTAATCACTGAAATAAAGGCTGTGAAAACAGGAATAATGACAATTCGGTCATGCCTTGGTGTGTCCAAGACGATATTGATCAGGATCGAGACCAGATGCATCCAAAATAGCAGCTGCTGCTTTCTTTGGATCGCCGCCTGCAGCATCAACGCCAGCTGGTGCCAATATCTTGTACCTGAATTACGGGATTTCACGCAAAAAAAAATGGGAGAACACCGGTACAAACTGAATTAGTTGTGGAATTTATGAATAATTTGTACTGGGACAATTAAACGTCGAATTTCAAGGCTATCAGCTATCGCAATTGAACTCCTGAATCCTTTGACCATTTCCTATATTAAAATGGATATCTAGGGGGGAGTGGGGGGTTGAGGGGCAAAAATAGATGAGGGGTCACAGCACCGGTACATAATCCAAATGTCTAATTGATCTACGAATTATTGAAGGGTCAAGGGGGGCTAAATACGTGGGGCAAAGGGTCAACACATAAAAAGTATTCGGGGGTAGATCGGGGAATTTAACTAGCCTTTGTATGACCAATCCTATAAAGATCTGGATCTAGGCCGCAATCATCGAAACATTTTTGTGCTGATTTTTTTGGATCTGTTTCCTGTGTCATGGCGACGGGCGACAAGATCATGTATCTATACCAGAAAATCTAGTAAGATTTTTCATTGTTTATTTTGTTTTTAGGGGGTTGGATACCCTAGGGGAGAATAGATTGGATCCATTTCTGTTTATTGTTCTATTTTTTTGGGTTTTGGATTTTTAGGGAGATTTTGGGAAGATCGTCGATGAAATTATTGGAAATGCAAGTTGTGAACTGTAAATATTTCATTGGAAAAATGATGAAATTCCTTGAAATCCATATTTTCCTCTCTGGAAATGATAAAAATAAACGAGAATATCTTCAAACTCAAAATCGATTTATCCAAATGTTTCCACGATGTTATTCACAATTAGAAATTGCATTTCTAATAATTCTGACTGAACTTCAATGGAGTAAATAAAAATAATAAAAAGAGAATAGTTAACGTACCGAAGTTTGAAGTCAGGATAGTTCATTCTGTTGGGGAAACCTTTACGACAAATACGGATACCCTCAAGTACACCGTTACAAGTGAGCTGATGCATCACAAGGTGGGAATCAATGACACCAGGTTGTTTCAGCTCGTTGGGAATGATACAACGAACGAAGTGAGGTTGAGTGGCTCTCAATGTTGTCATGAGATTGTTCAACTGTTCCTTGTACGATGACGATACAGTCGAGAAGCCACCACCCTTTTTACCACGTCCACCTTTGGCATCACCACCACCACCAGATTGTCCTGGATGATCAGCGAAGATCTCCACCAACAGTTTGTTGGTCGACTTCTTGAACTGGTCGACAACAGTGTCGTTCAACGGATCCTTGTTCTTCTCAAGCCATCCAGTGATGTTGTAAGGTACCTTTGAATTTCAAAATTGAGGTTTCAAAAATTGACATTTCATTTAAATTCATTCAAGGACTTAATTGGGCAAGCAATTGGCGCTTAGTACTTGCTGAAACCTAAATAATTTTGAGAGTTCGAGTCTGTTCACTGCCGTTTGATACTTACATTACCGGCGTAATGACCAATGGCGAAGTGGGCCGCCTGCTGGCCAGGCTTTGGTGGTTTGGGCTTGAGGAAATTGGGACTCTTGCCAAGATGATTGTTGTTCAATTTCTCTTCAAAGGTCTTATCCGTGGCCTTGGGGAACATAGACTCTTCCTCAAGAATCGAGAGGATACCCATGGGCTAAATTGATCATAAAACAAGTATTAGACCGCGATCGATTGTCAAGCTGCCTCATTATCAGTCATTCCCCTAATCCTAATTAATCAATAATTATATCTTCATAATCTGTGAATTCGTTACTTTAACAATATTAATCAATTGATAAAAAATGATATCTACTGAATAAATTAATCAATTAATCTTTACGTCTGATCAATTATTATATGGAGTACATTAGAATCTACTGATAAATCTCAAAAACAATTTGTACATTTTATTAATCAAATCTTTGACTATATTTTGATACTATCTATCTACTTGTTGTCGACAATCTAGACATTTACATGGACAATACATAAACATAGACAGCGTAATGTAGTCTTGCAAGTGCGCAGAATGGTAAATCGAGGCGAAGCTATGATAGACATGGAAGCAAGCGTTTGGATTATAATTTGCAATCGTAAAAATGAAAATCCGTAACCTACCTTCTCAATTAGATTGATCGTAGCTTGTAAATCCATACCAAAATCAATAAATGTCCATTTAATACCCTCCCTCTCATACTCCTCTTGCTCAAGTACAAACATAAAGTGATTGAAGTACTGTTGCAATTTTTCGTTCGTAAAGTTGATACAGAGCTGCTCGAAACTGTTTTTCTGATGTTTTTCCATGGCGTCATTGGTACATGCGTGTCCCACGTATGCAAGACAAAATGCAAAACACACACGCAACACAAAATAAAAACGAATTGACAGTTTATCTGGGAATTCCGGATTGCCAGAACCAGAAGAGGCTATGGAAGAAATGATTGGGAGGAGTCTAAATGATGAATATGAACTGTTGATGAATTTTCATGCTGAATTAATTAACTGAATATTATGTTTTGAGCTCCCAATGACTCATTGTCTTCCACAAACTCTTGAAATGAATAGACAGGAATATTCAATTAATGATTAAAACATTCAGAAGACCTGGAAGATACATGATTGTTAGTAAAGACATGTGGAAACGATAACACCCTGTACGACAAGAGTCATCATGCTCGTGTAGTGAATATTTATTGATAAATCGTTGGCCTGTTATAATCAGGCACTCATTAGACAGTCCAACTTGTACCTTCTCAATTAAGTCAATGGTTTGTTGAAGGTCCATGCCGAAGTCAATGAATGTCCATTCAATACCCTCACGCTTGTACTCTTCTTGTTCGAGAATGAACATATGATGATTGAAGAATTGTTGAAGTTTTTCATTCGTGAAGTTGATGCACAGTTGCTCAAAGCTGTTGAACTGTGAGTTGCAGGATTTTGTGTGAGGATTTGTTTTTTTTGGTGATTTTGGTTTTTTATGGAAAAAAAAAGGCAAGACAGCTGTCAATTTACTGTTTAATGCCATGGCTATGGTATCAAATTATAAATAAATTAAAAATAAATTCGTTATTATTAATATTCTAATGTAAGATGAGTATTTGGACGGGGTATTGCGGAGGTATGGCTTGGGAAGGGCTGAGGCGAGTCTCAGTATGCCTTTTGGACACATGTGAATAATGATTTCCGGAAGATCCATAATTCATTGTTCGGAAATCAATCGATTAATTGATAGGGTGGGTGGGGGGTAAACGGTTTTTAACATCGGACCTCGGATTTTACGCCGGAATATCCGAAGAGACAGTGTGGAAAACATAAAAGAATGACTTCAACATCAAAGTACCTTCGACAGAGTGCGGGAGGCGATGAAATAGACAAATTGACCTGGCAAGTGTCAGAAATACATACGACGTGACAAAATTTTAGTATTTTGCACGTTGAGATGAAAAACAATAACACCAAACAGATAAAACTCCACCACTGAATCGACGTGTCTTAGTACTCCGACCATCTTTTGGTTTTTGTTTCATCACGAATTTATTTCCAGAATTCGTTCATCATTTCCTTTTGTACCTTTTCAATAAGTTCAATACACGCTAGCAAATCCATTCCGAAGTCAATGAATGCCCATTCGATTCCCTCTTTCTTGTATTCCTCTTGTTCAAGTACGAACATGTGGTGATTGAAGAATTGTTGCAACTTCTCGTTGGTGAAGTTGATACACAGCTGTTCAAAGCCGTTGTACTGTTTCGAGCAAATGCAAACAGGGAATTTCAAAATAAAACTAGGCTGTAATTCATGCGTTTCTATCTGAAATGTGTTGTATCAATTGAAATCATTGGGACATTGAAAAAAATTTCATCAAGTCTCAAAATGTCCGAACAATTTCGATGTACAGGAAAAATTGGATGTCAATAATGGTGAATTATCGTCGACGTCGTATTTC